AAAGGAACCTGGTACCTCCTAGTAGCCTCCTGTCCATAACACGACTGTTCACACAACTAGGGGTACCTGTTTCGCCAACAAAGACTGAAGGTCCAGATACGATCATCAACTTCTTGGGAGTGGTGCTGGACCCTGTACATATGCAGGCTAGCCTCCCCGGGGAGAAGATTAATCGCATCCTAGCAGCCATCGACCTTTACCTAGCAGGTGGCTCATGTAATAGGAAAGAATTACAATCCCTGTTGGGTTCCCTAAATTTCGCCATGAAAATAATTCCTCAGGGGAGAGCGTTCATATCCCGTTTGCTTAGGCTATTTCCCCTGTTTCACTCTGATACCATCCGCATTACGTTAGACATACATGCCACCGCTGACCTACATATGTGGAGAGAATTTTTGCTAAATTGGAATGGGAAAAGCATTTTTATCCCGGTATGGTCAGATAAGTCAGTGTCATTATGGACGGATGCCGCTGCCACGTCAGGTTTCGCAGCTATTTGTGGCAATGAATGGATGTGGGATAATTGGCCAGGGGAAATTACTGCAATCCCCAAGTTCAGAGACACATCAGCCTTATTCGAGCTTTACCCCATTGTGGCAGCAGCAGTTAAGTGGGGAGCTGGCTGGTCTGGGAATACGGTGCGTTGCTTCTCGGACAACATGGCAACATGCCATATTGTTAACAAGGGTCGTTCCTCTTCCCTGGCCATCATGCGGTTTATGAGGACTCTCACTTGGCTAGCTGCTAAACACAGTTTTCTTTTAACTTGCATTCATGTGCCTGGGGTTCTCAATATCGCTGCTGATCACTTATCACGGTCTCGGTTTCAGGAGTTCCGGGCAGCACTTCCAACAGCTACCCCGACACCAACTCCAGCACCTCAGTGGCAGGAATTGGTTTGGGACTAAAAGAATTGCTCTATCACGGTCAACAACTTTCGCAACTCGGTCTTTCCAATAACACCAGGAAAGCATATGCCAGAGCTTATCATGTTTTCAATAAATTCTTGCTAGACTTTAATGTCACTGACCAGTTCTCCATGGAGACTATCATCGCATTTATTTCTTTTTGCCACCTTCATCTGACACTATCATATAACACCATTAAGTTGTATGTCACAGTTATTCAACATCACGTCCTCACAACCTGGCCTAATAGACAACGATTTCTGTCATCCTATCAAGTTAAAGCCATTCTAAAAGGTATTAAAGACTCCACTCCTATACCCTCACCATCCAGACTACCCATTCACGATCTTTTGTTTCAGTCACTATCCAATCTGCTAGACACCTCATCATTCGAAGCCCATACAAACCATGTAATTAAAACAGCCATCTATTTGGCTTTTTATGGTTTCCTTAGGCCCAAAGAGTTCACCACCCCTCACTATAACTCCCCTGACGTCATCACTAGGTCGAATCTGGTAAAAGTACAAGATCGCTACGTGCTATCCCTACACCATACCAAAACTACTGCTAAAGGACAGACTGTCACTATCACCTATTACCCCACTAACAATAATTGGTGTCCGGTGGAAGTTTTAGACAAATACCTCTCCTCTTGTACCATAGCCCCTACACAACCACTCCTTACGTTACACGGTAACAAGCTAACAACGAGTAAATTCATAGTATATGTTAGGATGTTGTTGGTCCGTTTAGGATTAAACCCAGCAAGTTACTCTGATCACTCATTTAGAATAGGAGCCGCCACCACAGCTTCTACGAAGAATATCCCGGCTCACATAATTAAAATTTTAGGCCGGTGGAAGTCCACGGCTTACACAAGATACATCCCTCAGCCAATACAAGAACTGCGCTTAGCATTCAAGACCATGAATATGTGATATGCTATGATATTTTGGTAGGATGAATAAACTGGTTATATCTTTTTTGCCCTCTTTTATTTCAGGCCTACTGCCTCGTCAGTTCCGGCACACCACAACTGACATTTCCATTCACTGTTTGTCTTATGTTACTAATACTACGGCTTTATGCCGTGACCACAAATGGAAGGCATGGCCTGAAGTTGTGGGAGGGGCTTGGTTCCCCTTCTTAAGGAGCACCAGCCCTTCCCTCATTACCTGTTAGGTCTGGCGAGTTGCCCCTCCCATCACACCTCTTTTTTAGCACTTCATAAGGTAGGCCCTCTTTTATTTCAGGCCTACTGCCTCGTCAGTTCCGGCACACCACAACTGACATTTCCATTCACTGTTTGTCTTATGTTACTAATACTACGGCTTTATGCCGTGACGACAAATATATATATATATATATATATATATATAAAATTATAGATATATATACAAACACACATATACCTATGTGTGTTTAAACCATGGTTAAGGATGCAGTTTGTTAAGAGAGGGATTTCAGGTGAGGAGAGGTTTAGTGACTTGATTGGTGTGTTTTGAAAACCAGCTGATCTGCACTACCATACTATAAGTATGGTAATGACTATGGGGTGGGGTGGGAGAGATGATACCTCTGCTTATGCCTTTCTGCAGTACGTATTGCTTGTGAGTACTGGGTGTTGCTAATCAATGCGGTTATTTGGGGCCTAGTCTGAAATATAAGGTCTGGGGTTAGAAAAAAAAACAAGAAACAACACCATTATGGGTGGGGAGACATGGAGGTATTGAGGTAATTAGAGTTGAAAAACCAGAGGAGATAACATTTGGGATAAAAAGATATGAAGGATCACAAAGGTGAAAGTCATAAACAGTGAACATAAATTTACAAGACGATCAGTGAAAGAAGTAACACTAGCTAAACAAACAATTAACAAAAAAGTCATAAAGAAAGAACATAAAATAAGAAGACTATAAATGCACCAACTTAAAAAAAAACCCAGAAGATAGTTACCCTGTGCCTATTATAGGTGCAGGGTGTGTGTACAATATTTAGTTTTAAATGTTTTATTTGCTCTCCTGTCCTGGTGATGATTGCTACCAACGAGGTGGATTTGGCTATGGAGCCTGTATAGCGGCCTCTGTCGGTAGCAACAGCAATATGCACTACTTATAGCAATAGCAAGGCTTGCAAATTATTCAGGTATATTTGCATATTGCATATTCTGCAGGTGGGAGAGATATTTTGTGTTAAATATTGTCTTCCCCACCTATGTAGGACTAGGTTATTATAATTCCCTGTATTCTTTTTGACATGTCTTGGTTATTTGTATTTTATTGAGTTTGTCACTGCAAGGTTGATGTAACAAAAACATGGGCTACTCCCAAGTAAAATAAAGTATCGCATGTTAGTTACCTATGCAACTGGGTGTCCTGAGTGGATTTTTAGGGATCCCAGTCACAGAGTTGTCGTACCTGTTGGCTGACTGCACAATCCCTTAAGCCCTGGGATGAATAAAGAGAGCTAGGCCTGAGAGCTGCAAGTGCCTTTATAAAGGCAATAGCAAGCACTATACGCAGAGCTGCAGAGAAATAGGCAGGAAGGACGATACCTGCCCAGAAGAAGGGCTGGAGCAGAATAGGCACAGGGGACGTTACCTGCCTGAAAGGAGAGCTGCAGCCTGGTCAGGTGGAAAAGCTCCACAGAGACGCCAGTCGAGCCTTGGCAACTGGGGTTGAAGCGCTCCAGATTCCCTCCCCAACGGCTAGCAAGTGTGTTAGGCAGGGGTACTCAGTCGTAGTAGAGGAGCTCCATCATATCTTCCTTCTTCGGAAGGTAGGTAAAAAGGGAGAACCACTCTGGTTGTAGTGAGTCATGCACCTTGGAAAGGGAGGGGTAACAGACTGCGCTTGACTCAGATATTGTGGCGGATACCACCAACACGTTGTTTACACCCACACTAAAAGACTATAACACTACCCTGGCTCTGTGTTCCCCCCTCACCTCCATATGGATCCATCAAGCACCTCGCTCTTCCCCGTTGTCAGCAGATACCATGAGCTGGAGTATCCCGAACTCTTCAGCGTAACTTGTCTGTGTTTCCCTGGAACTCCGGCTCAGCCACAAGTATTACCTTGGCCCAATCATATTCTATCACAGTTTCACCTCTTTCTGAATGTCCTATGAGAGCGCTCTTTGGCGGGGAAGTTACAGTTCATCATAGGGGACAATCGCTACCTATAAGCCAGGGGGAGCTCCCGTACCTCACGCCGCCACAGATCCCGTTAAAGTACCAGTGGATCACTATGTACCAATGTTGGGGTCTGTGCATAAAAATCTGCATTCGGTACAATAAGATCATATTCACTGAAGGGTTCTATTCTGGCTGAGAGGAGAGTTTAGCAGGTTACCACGGTTCTGCTACAGGTACATTGTTGGCAGCCTTTTGCTCACAGCAGAGGGAAGACAAGGTCTGCAAATAGTTTCTGAGTCATTTCTGAGGGTGAGGGCAAGTGCAAAACAAGCTTGTCAAAGCATGTCCAACAGCAGAGCTCTGAAATCATGTGGCCATTCTTCTTGCGCAGCTGTGTCCTCCTAGAAGTGTTTTTTGATGAGGTGGAATTAAATTTTGGAGTATGTACTATTTAAAGTAACCTGGATTTGTAGAAGTTGGGTTCTAGGATTACAGCTAGTGGTTTCAAGGGTTATCTGGGGGGGAGGAGAGAGTGCATGAAAAAGAAGTTGTTACACACAAGCTGGTCTAAAGCTCTTCTGGACTTTTTCTACTTTTGTTTTACATGTTCATCAATTTCAAGTGCAACTACAAACTAACTGAACCAAGTAGATTTAAAGTAGTTTTGGAGAATATTTAGATTGGGTTTTCTAAAAAAATATTTATTATAATAATAATCTGAGTAATCACGTACACAGGAGAAATTATTTTGAGATGATATGTAAACAATGGCGGATACCATTCTAAATAATTATCTGCTGCAACCAATTGCCTTCAGAAATTATGATTACTTGCAGCAGATAATTATTTAGGAGTTTTATAGCAATGGAGGTGAATACTTATGCAACTAATAAACATGTTTTGTTTTCCCTAAAAGAAGGTTCATACTGGATGAGTAATCAGTCATTTTCTACAATGTGTGTGTGTGTGTGTGTGTGTGTGTGTGTGTATGTATATATATGAATATATATATATATATATACATACATACATACATACACACACACGTAAATAAAAGTATTTTTATATTTTATATTGTACTTTACTTAGCTGTCACCTTAAGTTAATATATGTACCAATTAATAGTTTTTCATGTTAGCAGACAAATATTAATACAATAACATTACAAAAATTAATGCACAATTTACACACTTACCAGACACCCTACGCACAATGTACAAAGGCAAGCTACCGCAACAAGAGCAGCTAGAAAGATGTACTCGAAGATCAAGATGCCAAACGCAAATTTGTAAACCATATCATTACAGGCTCTTGGATTATACTGGTAGATTCTAAAGACCCAGACACTACCTGAAAAATAGACAAATGCATTGTCATACTCTTGGCATTTGGTACTTGCATGTTTTACTAGCTTAACCTGTATGGGTGCTAATTTAAAGCACTCAGGAGTGCTTCTGTAGGAGATTAATATTGGTCTTGTGGAGAGGGTGAAATATACAGTGAATGGATAAGCGTGAATAAGTGTGGTAGCAGAAAACACTACAAGCCACCTGAGTGAAAACCCCTTTTACCACTCTAAAGGATTAAAAAACACAATACATACAATAGGTGGATCACACGTTCTGATGCATCTAAAAGAGACAAAATAATATAGTGCAATATAGCCAGTACATATAATTATAAATGTTGTGGAATTTAAGTATTCACAAGCCTGGAGCCAAATAACATATGGCTCTCATGGGTAGTGTAGTGGGACTTTTAGTAGGATGTCCCCGTCCTTCTTTTAGATGTTTCTGTTGTAATCTTTCAGAGTTTGTGCAGTGAAGTTAAGCTGCACAAGCAGATTTCCATAAAAGGAGCACTATACTATACTTTATAAATATATTTTTTTTTAAAAAACAAAAAAAAACACACACACTCTATTGATCCCCCAGGCCCCTCCTCCACTAAAGAGCCCCATATCAAGGCTTCAGCTGAAAGCTCCAGAAATGGCTACGCAGGCAAATATGTATGGCTGGAGATTGCTGTATGTACCTGGCATGTGGGAGTACATATAATGGGTGGCATGTGCATCCAGTAAGTCATCAAAATGTTCTTTGGATTCTATGTTGACCTTTTCAGAGTATGCACTTTGACTTAGAACTCAAAAGAAAATCTATGAGCCAATAATGAATCACCAGATTTAAAACGCTCATCTCTTCTCCCCATTCTCTCTTCACTCAACCAACCACTGCTATATTATTCTAGTTTCATTGCCAGAACAAAAAAACAATGAAATGCTGAGGTGTACAAAAAAAAAAAAAAAAAAAGGTAAATACAACTAAATTACTATTCTTATCCTTCCTATTATTAGACATTGATGTATGTAATGTATTGGTGTAAAAAAAAAAAAAAAAAAAAAAAAATTGTCCGTGGAAATGAAATTGACTTTTGGGGGATACAAATCAAAAACTCAAAATGACACAGCTGGCTAAAAATAAATTATAATAAGATAACTTCTCAAAATCTGTGGATCAGAATAGCGTTCGATGTTGTTATGCTACACTTGCTACTCTGACAACTATTGGCCATTTTTTAAGTGGCTACACTACATCTTCATTAACAGAATTAATCCAAAAACGTGGGTCAGAACTTAGAACCATCTTCAATTATATCACAAATCCCGCATGATTTGAAATAGACAAAAGTCTATAATTTTCAATGAGAGATCATTAAGCAGAATTGAAAACTAGAAAGGATTAGTAATTACCATGAACAGACCAATAGGAACACGGTCTCAACCAGAATTTACCTTTTACTCTATTCCAGCATCTCCTTATATTTAGTTTATAATTAACCAGGGGCTGTCACCATCTTCTAGGGAGCAACACTCTCACTATTGATAGCTCAATTCTTTTCTGTCTTGGCTTTATTGCTATTCTTTACAGTTTTTCATAAATTTGCTAGGAAGGAGTCAGGACAAGGATATATACTTGTGTTCAAAGGAAGGATGAGGAAAGTAAAAGCATAAAACCAAAAGATAAATTGAAGAAAAGGATGAGTGAGATATATTCTCTCCAAATGTATCTTTGGACAAAACATGGACATGTAGTAACGGCAAAGGGGATGGAGGCAGATGTCATAATTACAAAGATATAAAAAAAAAAAAATAGAACAAAAAAAAACAACATTTAATACACAGCATCACACAAAACAAAAATGTTTCAACCATAAGTAGAAGTTAGTATTTTGTCAATAATACTGATAAATTTGATATAGATCTGCAACAAAATAGCATCTTATTTACCTGCAATGAACCAGCATAAAGAGAAAAGTCCTATAACTCCCCCTATTGCATATGCCACTTTTTCAGCAACAAATTTTAATGGGCTGAGAGCCAAGCCCAACAAATGAAAGACACCAGCCACTATCAGGTAGATCGGGATTTTTGGCTCAGCTGGACAGTTGTCCACATGCATGGAACCTACAGAGAAGAAGGATGACATTTAACCATTACTGAAATAGTTTTAGAACGCGGATAACATAGGGTAAACAGCGTTATCAAGATAATTTTCTTACCTATAATAAGCATGGCAATGCTGAGTGCTGTCCAGAGCAACGCCGTAAAGATTTGGGAACCTGAATAAAAAGCAAATAAATCATTAACATATTATATATATATATATTTATTTTTTTATTATTGAAATGTAACTCCTTCACTGCCGAAAGCTTGCCTGGCAACCCCTCAAAAACTAATGCTCAAATTGCAACACACTGGCACATACAAACACAGATACATACACACAGACGCACAATGGCACATACAAAAATCAGAGCAAATTTATTTTTTGGGGTGGGGGGGAGGAGTCACGATGTTGCTACACTATGTCAAAGGGTTCCACGGGAAAAATTTATTTGGAACCCCTGCCCTATTGTATTCTTAGTTCCATAACAGACTGACAAAAACAAAAAACACGACCACACCTGATTAATCACTCTTCACCAATTGTCCAGAATATCCTATATCCTGCAGAAAATTAACAGATGAGTTAAACTTGTAGAAGACTGACAGGGTTATTCACAAAAACTAAATTTTAAAGTGAATTTCCAATTTAAGGTCAAAATTCTCTAATTTAGCCATGCTTTTAGTGTAGGTACTCTGGCTTTAAAGGAGCACGATAGGATCAGGAACACAAACATGTATTCTTGACCCTATAGTGTAGGTTGAAGTTGTTCTAGTGACTATATCGTCCCTTTAAATGAAGATTAAAAACATCACTGGGTGTACCAGCTTAAAAATAGGTCTACAGTGATGCAGGTGTGCAGGCGGTAATAATGGGAATCAACCAATATAGTATGTTCTTCTTACTGTTGAATACTAGTATGAATCATGTATTTTGTTTTTGACACAATAAAATTCACACTGAAAATCCTGCACGTGCTACTGTATAATAGATAAGTTAATATTTTGGGTAAGTAAAAACAGAGGCATTTGACTGAAGCTTTATTTATTTTGAAAAGTGTCAGACATCTGGTGTTTTTATTTAATTTGGTTTCCAGGCTTGGGAGATTTTACTAATGTGGAATAAAAAAAATAAAAACAAAAACACATTAGATTAAAAATAGGAATAAGTACTAAAGGAATAAGTCTTTTTAGAAAACTGTTTACATGTACATACACATCTGAGTCTTGGGTTAAATGCTCATTCACAAAATTAACTGAGATATCTAAAAATAACTTTGTATGAATAAATATATTTATGTAAATTTATTTAGAAATCATGGGGATCTCTTTCTTCCATATGTACAGACCACAACAGGATACTGGGAGGGGAAGGGGGGCTGAAGGAGACAAAAAAAAAAAATCCTTGTGGAAACTAGCAAAAGAACAAACGAATGTGGAAAAAAATGCCTTTACCTTTTACTTGCAGTCATATTTACTAAAGTGAGAATTGTAAGGTATTCAAGGTAAATTTCAAGTTTCCAGTTCAACTATTTGGTCTAAAAATGTGAAATTTGCTTTGAATTCCCAACACCTCTCACTAGTGAAAAACTTGGTTTATTTTATCCCAACTGATATAGATATGGTGGCATCAACTTTCAAGTACTGAGATTATCCATTGAGAGAGTCAAGAGTGACCTCTAGTGTATGAAATCTATACATCATGTTTTGCAGAAAAAGTGAGTAAATGTGATCTCTTAATGACAGCAGGCATGCTATGGACTAAAACGCAGCTGGGCGCATAGTACGCCCGGTCATTTTAGCCCTCCCTCCGGTCCACCTTTTTACCCAAGCTGCCGATCACCATCTGCGTGTCTACCTGGCAACTCAAGCAGTCTCCCTGCAGCCAATGATGGCAATCTGTAGCCAGTCATTGTGATAACTGTTACAATGACTCAGCCAATTGTTGAAACATTAGCGGAGACATTGATGTGAGGCAAAAGATCATTGCTAAACTGTTAAAAGTAAAAAAATAAAAATAAAAACTTTTTTAACCCTTTCAGTGCTGGTGATCACAGCATTAACCCTGCAATCAATCTGATTAGTACTATTCAGAATTTACTTTTTTTTTGTTTGGGGATAGCCCTATATCATCTATAAAACATTTGTATTGACGAATGCCTTATATATTTTAAAAAGGTAGACTGCTTTTTATAAAAATATATCCCATTGATGCAGTCGCAACATGGCTTAACATTTTTATAATTATGAAAATCCAGCACTGGTTATACATGTGAATTATGGATTAATCAAGGGAAGGACAGCTTTCTTGGCCCACCAGGCTACCCTGATTCTATAGAGAAAAGTGGCAACACTGTGTGGGATCTGATCTTTCCCTTGTCAAATAAAGGTTACAAGCTATGGGTTGATAATTATAATTTAAAATATTTAGGTTGTTTTAAAGCCCTAGCTTGTGGCGCAGTGTGTAAAAATCTGAGGTTTCCCGCAAACCTTGACAAGTGTCAGAAGCAGTAGAGACTCCTCTTCAGTTCTACACCAGGATAAGGTGCTGGCCCTTCAGTTCACTTATAAGAAAGCTGTATATATGCAGTCTACAATGTATGACA